AAGCAACCACCAAGAATTTAAAGGGACATCTATCAAATTTGATTCAAAATAAACCAACTCACATTTGCTTCTTTTTTCTTTGCTAACCAAGCCTTAAACTTGTTACAATTTGCTCTCTTATGATCATTCTTCTTGCAGTGGAAACATTTCAAGATTGTTCCTCTATATTTTTCATTAGCACCCCTCTTTTTGAAATTTTGAAACTTCTTGGGAGCAGGAGAATAATTTTTCTTAAATTTCCCCTTCGCCTTCAAGGAGCCTTTCTTAGCATTAAAGGTCAAATGGACATACTCATTATTTTATTTCTTTAGCTTTTCTTCCTCAGTCACACATTTTACAATCAGCTCATTAAGGCTCCAATTCTCATTCTGAGCAATATAGGTAGTCTTTATCTGACTGAATTCAGCAGGTAAACGGTTTAGGATGTGATGCACAACAAAATCATCGTCAAAAACAATATTATGGGTCTCAGTTTATTTTGGACATGGATTATCCTCAATATGAACTCTCTGACCCCAATAGAAGCATTATATCTCATATCAGTCAGCTCATTCACTAGGTTCCCAACTTCAGCCTTATCATAAACCTTAAATTTTTCACCAACCTCTTTTAGAAAAGCTTTCGCATTCAAATTTTCAGGAAGACCACTAAGGAGATGCTCAGAAATAGACCTCTTCATAGTAATGAGGCACAACCATTTTGATTTCTCCCATTTAGCATAATAAGCACTTTCATTATCAGTGTTTCTATCATTTTTGGCTTGCGTGGTTCATCCTCTCGTGAGGCCAAGTCCAAGTCAACAATCCCCATAGCAAATTCAACATCTTTGCTTCCACTTCTTATAATTTGTTCTAGTCAATAACTCAATGGAAGCATGGTTGTTGTTAATGACAAAGCTAATTTGTTGGACATACACAATGCAACAAAATTAATTTTGGGCAAAAACAAAATAATTTATATACCATAAACCCCCCTTTGGGCAGGGTATATAATATACAAATATTTCTCATCACATGAAGATTTCAACAACAGGAGAAAATACATACAATTATAAAAATTCATTTCCTTTGAGCAGACAAATATTTAAATTTTACATATTTCTCCATAATACCACATGCAATTTTAAAATAATTTATCCCCTTTGGACAAATAAATACTTTTAAATCACGTATTTCCATCAATAATTTCTTCATGCAATTTTTCAAATTATTATATATAATAACCCTTTTAGGCAGATAATTAGCATATAATAATTCAAAATAATAGATCAACAACGATGCCCAACAACATGAAACACCTAACAACATGTGTTTCTAACAACATGAAACATTTCACAACATGTGTTTCCAACAATTATATTGCATTTGTCAATCCAACAAATTTTTCCATAAAAAACCAGCACTAAACATTAAAGTATAAGACAAAATTACTAACTATACTTAAGTAGAAGAGTGACAACACCCTAATTCAATTTGGGGAGAGTGAATATTGTCATCAAGTTCACCACACGATATAATAATTTTCCAGTAATTTTGATTCTCAAAATTCAGGCATATATACATTTATACATAATTAAATATAGAACAAAACATATTAATTCCATAAAAAATATATAATGTGCTAAAAAAAGTACAAACAACATATAAAAATTCACAAATATTATAAGAATGATTCTGTTAAAATTTGATGAATTTTCGATTAAAGGAAAGTGCACACTCTCCCTTATTATAAATAAAATGAAATAATTTCATAAAAAATATATAATGTAGTGAAAAAATTGCAAAAAATATACCAACAATTCACAAATGTTTCAATGATTATGTTAATTTTATTTTTTTTGAATTTTGGCATAAATTTGAGTGCACGCTCTCCTTTACTCTCCTCATGCTGCATTGGGACTTTGCCAATATTCCATATCATGCATTTTTTATTCAGAGTACATATTTTTTTTGGTCCTCAGCAAATTTTACGATGCTCGCTTTACTCCCTAGCAAATAAAGAGATTATTTGTGGTCCCTAAGAAATTCAAAATAGACCCATTTAGTTGAAATCGTAGTCCCTCACAAATTCAAAAAAGATCCACATTAGTCCCTCGTAAGGACTAAAATGGGTTCACTTCGAATTTTTTACGGATCACGAATAACTTTTTTATTTGTTAGGGACTAAAACGAACATCGTAAAATCTGCTGAAAACCGAAAATGGTAGTTACTCTTTTATTTATTTGGATTTCAAATCACTTATAACTCATAAACATTTAACACACAATAACAGCAACCACAAATATGTTAACGTGGAACAGTACGAAATACAAGAAATACATAAAAATAAAAATATGAAGGAGTACGATTATAATGTTATTGGCACAATAATAATTTGTTTTAAGGGGAAAATGTTGTTCCTCGATATAATGTTTTTCCGTCAATCAATGGTTATAATTTAGTGGGTCAAATTTATTTGGTCAAATTTATTATTAATCAATTAATAAGTTTGACCCAATAAATTATAATTATTGATTGATGAAAATCAATGATTAAGATCTAAAATGACACAAAGTTATATCCTTCGTAAAGATAAACATTTATCCCTTGTTTTAAACAATCAAATTGGCACATCTTTTTTACGGATCTTTTTAAAAGTGACAAAAAGTAACATCCCTTTTAAACATCAGCTTTTTTTGTGTTTCACAATTTTTCTTTGCACAATTTTTTTTTTTGTGATTTTGTGTTAAAAAAAATGAAATGGGAAGACAAGAGAACAAAAAAACCCCAAAGATTTTCATGATCAATGGCAAAAAATTTGAAAAGAAATTTTATTATGAACTTTAGGTTCTATACTCAAATTTTGAATTATTTTAATAAAAAAAATTGTGGGTCTTAAAATTCATACATGATTTACTCTGGTACCAAATGTAAAACCATAAGGGGCCGTTTGGTAGAAAAAAAAAATTATCTGAGAATCACGATTACGGGAAATATGGTTGGAAAATTTTTTTCCGGGAATATTACAAAAAATATATTTGGTAGGTCAAGATATTACTGGGAATATTCATTAATTTTCTTGAAGGAGTGTTTTGTTGATGATAAAATATTACTGAAAAAATGGAGAACTTTTATGAAACTACCCTCTTAAAAGATAACTTTGAAACACCATTTAGAAACAAAATAATAAAACAGCAGTGCGCATATAAGCAAACTTAGGCATTTTGTTTTTCTCCAGAATCTATGGACAACATAACCCTGTTTTCTATAATAACAATAATGTCCTTCTTCTTGTTAGCACCTGTGGCTGCCTTCATGGAGGGTGTTAAATTTAGCCCTGCTTACTTGTAATCTGGTGCGAGTATCTTGATGGTTAAAATTGATAGACTTGCTGTTAGCATAGCAACAACGGAAAGATATAATTGTGTTGAGGTTGCTAAAATGTTTTTGTATAATCTTTCTTGACAGGGGTTGAATGCGAGACAAGTGTACATTAGAACATTTCTTGCTGCACTCTGCTTCCATGCATATCAACAAGTGAGTTTTCCTCTTCTATGTGTAATTGTTCCCCTTTATTTATTTACTTTTTTGGGAATTCATTGGAGTTGCAAGCACCTGGTAAGGAAGAAGAGTAGGTGATCTAATGTAAAATATAACCTTCAACATGCACAGCACACCCCAGTTTTAGAGATTGGGGCTGGTGACAGTTGAGCTTCATGGTTGTTGGCTATTCAAGAGTGCTTTTACTTATTATTTGGCTTCTTGTCTTTTAACTGCTAGGGCTCAGAAGGGTAATTTTTTCTGCAAAATTTGTGAATGGATTCCCAGTATGCAGGAAAAAAAATATTACCATGTGCAAGAAGGTATTTTGAATCATAGTAGTTAATTGCGCTGCAATAGCGCCGCAAGCCACGCCGTATAGGCATTGCGGTGCCTCTCCGCAAGAAACCGCGCCGCGTCGCACCTGAACGCAATAGCGGCCATTGCGATCGCATTTGCGGCCAAATTGCTGACATAAGACAAAATGTCAATTTTGTCCTAAATTTAAATGTGTAACAGAAAAAATTTAAGGGTTTTTAGTCTATCCGCGTCTCTCTCTGTCACTTCTGCTATCTCTGTCTTTAAAAAATATTTTTTTTTGTCATTATTTTTGTCATATATCTATTCCGCTATTTCCGTAACTGCAACCCGCTATAACGCTATAGCGTTTTTCAGGGTTAGCCGCGACATGCCACAATCCGCATTTGATAACTATATTTTGAATTGGCTTTGGGTAGTGTTAAATGAAATGCAGGGAATAAATTTTTCCCAGACATTTTCTATTTTCCTTGTATCAAATGTGGGAATAAAAGTTTCTCACTGTCACTTTCCTGGGCATCCAAAATATTACCATGTACCAAACATCCCATAATAGGATCGATACACATATAATGTATAAAGCACCACACATAATAATAATTCGAGAATAAGAAATACATGCTTGGGCCATCTGGTCTATTGAACAAATTCTGAGTTGTTCTTCTTGTTAGGATTTTCCTCTCTATGACCTATTCCGAAAGTGGCAGCCTTAGTGCAATGGGAGCATGACGAATCATGGGGTTTAACCCCAATATAAATAAGCTAGAGAAGGGACCTAGCAAAACCCTAATCAACAGTGTGTCTGATAGGTCCATCTATCACAGAAACTCAATCAGACACTAATGCCTACATTGTGCTACCCAACTAGGCCCGATGTCAACAAATGTCAAAAGCCCAACTCAACAAGATCACAATAGGCTTATCATAATACATTAAATTGGAATATTCATTAACCCGGTTATTTTAGTAAATACAAAAAAAACATTAATTAATATAGCCCACATATAAAAATTTCTAACATAAATAACTATGAGAAAGAAACTGTCTGTTCAATATAAGGAAAATATAATAAAAATATTCCCTATAAGGTATGTAATTATCTCTGATAACATAATGCATGATAAAATTTCAAGTATAGTTGAAAATAATTATTGTACACTTTATGTTGGTAGTTTAGCTGATCAATAGATGGCTCCTTAATTTGTACATTGTGGAAAAGTACTCTTGAATATGAACAAAGCACCCTTCCATTTCCTCCTAACAGACCTAACTCACCAAGAGAATCAATCATAAAGTGTACCTATGATATTTATAACAGTACAACCTATGACAAAGTGTAGTTAATCAGATATTACAGTACAACCTATATCTTCAATGTTTAACCTGATTGTGAGGTATAAGCACGACTTAGACGCTTCTTCCTGTATCTCCATGCAACCTGAATTCGGTTTGCTGCAAGGGATCTCCAATAAGGTGACTCATACCTAACATGATAAAATGATTAAATCATTATGTCAGAGACATAGTTTTAAAAACAGAAATCCGGCTTAAAATCACACACTCGTAACATGTATATTAAGGCCATTTCTTTCCTTTTATTCTCCCTTATTTTGGGAGGAGAAAGATGGATTTGAATTACAGATGTTGTGTCAGATATACAATATTGATAATTATGAATTGGCTATGATTAGATATATAATATAAAATTAATCATGTGAATTTACCAACAACTCAAACTTATAGGAGAGTTAGTTTATGACATAATATCAGAGTTTCTATGACCGAATCATTTAGAGTTAGATTCTTACTGCCCCGATTCTTCTAATAAAATGTTAAATTTCCTCAAGAAGTAGGCGAGTTTGTGTCTTGTGTGAAGGGTCTGTGTTATAACATAAAATCATTTATATGTCTTCACCAACATAAAGGAATGTCACTATTCATGAAAGATATACAGTTGATTTTCATTATTGTAAGTCATAGAAACAGTCAAGATTTTGGTGAAATATAAACCCAAATGCAAGGAAATAGAATGAATGACCTTAGAGCTCCTTGAACATGAGGGCTCCGCAAGAATCTTGTGAAAAGGGTTGTGAGTTCTTCAAGGTCTACGGCTCGGAGTGAAAATGCCTCTACATTTGTTAAGCACCTTACTGTCCTGTTGCTCAGCAACCTCTGTCCTGGAAGCCTTACTTTTCTACCATCTGCAAGAGAAACCATGTTGCTCATTTTGTAGTGTGGTCAAGTTGTTGATTATTGCAACTTCCTGCTGATTTTTACTTCAAAATATGTGACAGGTATTTTATCATTGCATTAAGTATTGCTATACCTGTGCTTACAGAAGAATGTTCAAGATACCATGTCAGAAGTTCTTCACCACAAGCATCACCTTCAGATAAGGGAACTCCCATTCCATTTTCTCCAATACTCTCCAATTTTCCACGCACAACAAAGACCATCTTGTCTACAAGACCACCCTGTGTCAAAATTCTACTTCCTTTGATGTATGTCTTTTGTTTTAGTCTCTCACAGATGGCATCTAAGATTGGCTCATCCATCAGGGCAAAAATTCGAACCTGCGGATATTTTACATCCTCAGAAAATCAAATCATCATTACAGAGATGAACAATGTAACTAAAATCCACTTAAATATTAATCATGAAATTTTTAAAACTACTACTAATCATCTATGCCACAAATATTCTAGTGCATACTTTCTTAACAAATTTGAAGAGATGACGTTGTATGTCTGTCCGGAGATCTTCTGGCAAATTCTCAAGAAGCATTTCCTCATTCACCCCCCTTGTTGCAGCCCAACTATACCGTTCAGCCTGTCTTACTCTCCTGCATGACAGACATAATATCTATCACTAGTACATTATGTGTGATTCCTAAGTTCATGTGACAACCTAAATAAAAAAACTCACTTCCTATTAAACCTCGATTAATGAGGGTATAGGTAAGGACAATCCTTGTACGCCGTCTTGCTCTTGCATATTTGCAAAAAGACATGTTACAACCTAAATGCCCTATTATATGATAATCGGTAGCTCGACATATATGTACATTGTCTATATCACTATGGTTATTAGAACTAGGTAGGAATTTAATTCATAAGAAACAGATGGTCGTAACGTACACAAATGTTGTACAAATTTAGAGTTAACAAGCAACGACTTGAATCAACCAATTGACACATGATTTTGGCAATGTGGATTGATTTGTGTAAATAATGAGAGCATTTCATACCTTCTTAGATCTTCTGGTAAGCGACGATGGCTCATCCATTGCTCAACATCACGGCCTCTAAGTTGCATTTCTAGCCTCCTGAAGCAGGATAGAAGAAAATATATCAAGCATATTATGAACCCAAACACATGAGAACACTATCAAAGTTCAAATGAAACTCACTGCATCAGATAAATTAGATTTTACCAACAAGGGCAAAATAATGCCCTAAGCAGTATTAACAAGATATATACATAGAGAGGACTTCTTCCTAGACTGACTTTAAGAATCTCAGTCCAAATTAATGACAATATGAGTAGCATATTAGGTATAGTCAAACTTAAGAGGCATGGTGATGTCATGGAATTAGAACCTATAATTTGATACAATTACACTTAAAAGGATGGCTACCATTCATCCGTCTGCATCATTTTTTGAATTTTCAAATGGCAGGAACTGTAAACAGAAGTTGATTTAAAGGGAAACAGATGATTAAGAGTAACCATTGTTATCAACAGTTAAGGGTCACAGCAAGTAAGAGCAATAAGTCCTACCTCCGTCCAAGAGCCTGAAGAAAGTTCTGTATGTTTCCAATGAGAAGCGCAAACAGTAAAAGTCCCAATCCTATGATGGCCATTGTAAAAAGGACTTCCCACACAAATTTGCTCGGGGTTAGATTACCAGCCAGAGTACTGATTTGCTGTATTAAAAGATAACAAGGTTTAAATTGTTAAGAGATCAAAACCATTCATGTACCTTTTAGTTTTGGTCCAAGTTGGGCCCTGACATGATATTAGAGCATATATGACCATGTGTTCTGAAGTTCAAGCTTTGTCTTCCCTATTCTTCTAAGAAAAATGCTAAATGGTATGAATATGTTTTCGTAAAACGACTTACAAAAAGAGTAAAGTTAAAAAGCTTAATGTCGTTTGTCAATTACCAATTTACCTTTCAAACCTTACTTTTTTGTCTCTTCAAGCATGATTGGTTATAAGACATTCATAACAACTTTCGTACAAAAGCTTTAGTACCAAATAGCATTGTTGTTGTTCTAACTAAGTTATAATTCCTGCACAACGTAAAGAGGGTGTGCTTTGTCTACATTCAATCCCAAAGGGGTTACTAGTAGTGGGATTTAGAGAGGGAGAGATGAACAATAAGAATTGATGATAGGAGAAAGAAGGATTTGTTGCACACTAGAAAAGATTAATATCTTTTGGTTAAATTACTCCATGTCCCTATAGTTATATTAAACTTTCAATTAGGTCCCTATAATTTAAAAAATTTCAATGGAATACGTTTAAAAAGTCTGTTAATGGATGCTTATAGTAATCTACAAATCCTCCTGTGTTATCGTTAAAGATTTTTGAAGGACTTATTTATAAAAATTTATAATTAGTAGGGACCACATTAAAAAACCGGTTGCAGTATAGGCACTTACTAAAAAAATTTAAAGTATAAATATCCCATTAAAAAATTTGAAACAATAGGAACTTCATTAAAAATTCATTAAAACTACCTACTGAATAATTTAACCTTAATTGTTTCAAAGTTCGAATTAATGGGACCTGTAATTAATAAAATAGGTCTTGTTAGTTAAGTTCAGTGAGAAAAGATAATGGATTTTCAACCAATAAAAGAAGTGCATGATGGTAACTTGCACATGAAGAGGAAAAGATATAGGACAAACTGTACATAATTACTAATGAAAGAACACAAAAGGAAAAGAATGAAATACATACCTGGAAGCCCCAAAACAGCGCAAAGACATATTTGTTGACAACCTTAGTTTCTGTAGTAAGTTCTACAGCACTGGCATAGATCCCATAAGAAAAAGAACTAGAGCCAGAATCCAAACAAGCAATGGCATCTGTGTTGTTGATCCACAGAGCTGATGTCTGGGGAGACGCATGGCCACAATCAATTAATGCTATGCATCCATCAATATTAGACTTATGGCAGGCATCTCGCAAACATTGATTAACCCTCTGGAAGAAGGAAGAGGGAGAAAGGGAAAAAGTTAGTAAAATTGAATGCTAATTAACATCCATTTACTGAATTGAATTCCCGAGTCTAATTGAACTGTTCATCTTTAAAACATCCGGAGAACGTAATAACTCTGATAGTTGATTTTCATGAACAATATTAACAAAATAAGTAGAAGGATTAAATTTCTGAGCAGACATTACCACATACTATTGTACTTCATTTTGCCTATAGTTCTCATTACATATCATCATATTACGTACAACCACATGAAAACCAGAAGTATTCAAGTGAATCAAGTAACATTTCTTCAACCAAATTTATTCTTCAAGTAACCATATATACAACCATATCATCATATAATCATATTATGTTCATTACATATCTTAGAGGGTACCTTTCCTTCACTTCCGTGCAAGGTGAGAATTTAAAGCAAATTATGAAATTTAGCGAGGAAGAAATTTTGCATTTTTTGAAAATGAAGCTTCAAATATCATTTTCACTCACCTGTAGACCAAAGAGGTACCAGCAAGAACCAACAACATGACCGGATAGCATAAAAATGAGAAGATTAATGATAAAATTTGCCCAGGCTGACTCAAATATGAATCCAGTTGGAGACTGGCCAATTAGTAGAGGCAGAAACCTGAATAATCTGGGAATATACTGTACAAGGATCGATGCACGCAGAAGATTCTTCGCATAATTTGCTCCTGATGACCCCAAGGAATTTGGTAGGACAGACAATATCATTATCTGCAAATATTTCACTACATATGTCATGACATGGAGTTTGATGAGTTCATAACAAACCCATAGTCTTTTTCACAGATTGAAAACCCTTTCCTCCCCTGCTACCTACTTGTTCACGTCCACCGACTATTTATTCCTCAGAATAACACACTAAAAGGTGCAATAATCACTTCGAAACTGGACATAATGATATAGGACTAGAAGCTAGTAATATATATCAAGATAGAAATAAGGCAACAAAATCTTTGGAGTGTCTATAAACAAAATCTTCAGCATTATTCTGCCACAACATGAAGGTTATTATAGACAAAAATCATTTCTAGCCTATAACTAGCAGCTTAAGCTTTTTGGATAATTGGTTCTTAACAAGGTATTAGATCCTCTATGACTAATTGTCAAGACATAGATCCTCAGTGCTCCCGATTTCTTAATTAATTTCAATTTCAACACAATGTGGCATGTCTATGGTTCAAGGAGAAAGAGAGATGGGAAGAAATTTACCTGAGGAAGAGGTAATACAACAAAAAAGTCCAAAAGAAAATAACTCTTCAGGTAATTAAGAGCAATTTCCTTCGGATGGTCAACTAAATCTCCAGCACCAACCACCCTTGACTCAGGGGAAACATAAGCCAACCTAAACTGCAAAGAAGCAACGTAGTAGAGTTATTTAAGCTTTAAATTATGAAAAGGAAGCAAACTAAACTTAAAAACCTCAACAACCATATTTAAGATTCCGGACACATGCACATTTTTTCTTTTCCTTTTAATCTCAACTAATAAAAGGAAAAGGAAAAGAAACAACAAAGCAAGAAATACATAAGTCCACAGAGATGTAGCAATATACTAACAATAAGGTTACAATAAAGCACTCCAGCCTATTTATCATCTGAGTCAATTAATGCATTCCATTTTTATTTTTTCTTCCCGTCTAATCAACATAAGGTAGTTGACTCCATATGGCTGATTGTAGCTTAATGGAGTGCATTGGTTACTTCTAGAAGAACTGCATTCCTTTAAGATGATGAATTCTACTTGAAAAGATGCATAAGAGGCTTTTTATTATAACTATTAAGCTTGGGCCGCACATATCAATCCTTTCCAAGACATCACCATATGCTCATTTATATCTTTTTAAGTTTCCTCATGAAGTTTTCCAGATATATTTTACTTCCACCAGCTACTTGATCCTCGCACGCCGCATCTAATAAAATTGTCTATATGCATTAATCGAAAAAAACAATAAAGATAAGATGGAGTAAAATAAGAAACAACCCTGTAAATAGTGCTACATATTTGAGATAAGTATGATTGACATGATGCCATGGCCAAACACTCTTCTGTGTCAAGTGGCACTAACAGACTCAAAAAAATAATAATTGATTCTGTGTATCAACCTTCTTCTTTATTTACTAAGATATAGAAGTTTAACAGGAAATGTTTAGCATGCTTTTGGAGCTCCAATGAGGGGAGGGGAGACTTTCTGAAAAGGTAGTTACTGAGAAATTACCTGGAGAAGAACGTTCAAGAAATATACAAAATCATTCATGCTTCTAATTATAACAAGTGTTTTTGTCATTGTCCAGTTTATAATAATACATTTATCATCCTGCATACAACAAATGGAAAAAATGCAGAGTAAATTAGCAAAAAATAGTAGAAGGGAAATATTGGTATCTAAAATTTGCAAGGTTTTGCAATTAAATAAAAGGGAAAGAATCATACCTTCTGCACATAGATTAAGAAGAAAAACAATGGATCCACAAAAATTGCCACCAAGCAAAAAATAGCCAAAAACTGATTCCATTGTTGTACAATTTTAGTGTGAGGGTTCATAACTCCAGGAACACATGAAGAGCAGAACGAAAAAAGCTTTCTCCCAAAACCCTTGGCATCCCCATAAAGAGCATTGTGGAACTGTAAACATTCAAAACATGAACAAAAGTAACCTTGGTTATGTGAAAGTGACAGCAGATAATGTCTACAAAAGGAAATGAAAAGGTAGGAAGAAGATCAAGTATACTGAATGCTGAGAAGTTTATCAGTGCTAGAAAATAAGTGTTGTATAAATAATGAGAGCTTGAAATTGTCAATACTTCTATTGCACCTAAAGCAGATGATATCAACAAAAAAGAACAATATGAATAGAAGCAGCTTGAATACAGATTTTTTTAAGAGTATGGTAATAAGGATATTGTGAGGGCGAAGAGAGTGGTTTCTTGTGATGTACCAAAAGTAAAGAGAATAAGGTTTATTTGGTAATTCTAAATACTATCACAAAAGGTTAAATTACTTATTTAATCGTAATAGTTTCACTACATATTCAATTTAGTCCCTATAGGCTATAGTTCAGAATTTCTTTAATAAGTTCGTATGGTTTTCAAACAATGTAAAATATAACTTGTAATTTTCAAACAATGCAAAGTGGTCCATAATTGGTCCCTATTGTTTCACTCCACATAGGGAATAAACATAGCTAATGGGGATCATTTTTCATTATTTGAAAAATGTATGGAATTTTTTTTTTTCAACATATTTTCAACTATCGGGACTAAACTGAACTTAAGTGAAACTATAGGGATCAAATTGCATGATTTAACCTGATAGAGGAATATGGTAAGTGTTATGTATTACAAATTACAGTTATTCAGAGCAATTTAGTGAATTACATTTGCATTTTTTCTCTCTCTTCTCTTTCAAATTTTTCCCATCTTCTTCCCATATTGTCAACAAACTTTATTAACAATGGCCAGTACTTTCGAAGATTTAAACCAGCTCATTGTTGAAATACCAAAAGAAATTCCATAAGCTATATGTCCAGTAGGAAATTTTAGCACATGTGATCAGAGTGGTGCCTTCAACTTGAAGAAGTTAAGTCATTTTCCCAGAAATTAGCTTCCAACATAAATTTCTTTAAAAATAGATGGCATGTAGGAGCTGCTAAACCATCTAGAAGCCCATATTCATAGGAGAAAAGCATTGCCAAATGGGTGTTTCAAAAACTAACAATTATTTTCTAGATTGTACATTAATTATTGTGTTAGTTTTAATTTTTAATCTATTCTAAATTTTCTACGACGGTGGCTATTCTTGATGGACCAAAATTACATAGCAAGCAAGCTTCGGATGCTTGATCTAAATGGGGCCTTAGGACACTAAACCCACAATCTTTTCTTATGAATATAGATCTAAGTGAATAACAATTGAAACAGAATACTTTTTGTTAGAGAATAGTATAAACCATTAAAAAGCCCTCACAAACCAGCTTAAACTTTTGGGTTGAATCAGTTCTTTACATGATATCAGAGCCTCAGTGTCACGGGTTCAATCATCGCCGCTCCCCACTTTGTGGAATTTTCTTAGCACAAGTAGTTGGGTCTGTGCATTATCCACCTACTAGGTCAATGGACTCTCGTGTAAAGGGGCGTATTAGATAATAGTATAAACCATTAAAAAACCCTCACCCACCAGCTTAAGCTTTTGGGTTGAATCGGTTCTTTACACTTCTCATAGAAATACTATTCACCATCTTGATATCTAACATAAACATAGATGATGTAGAAGTGCAAAAGCCACAAATATATAACTAAAAAAGTACATTCATCAGATTGATTGACAATGAAAACAATATAAGAGTAAAGCTATGACTAAATATGAAAATTATAGGCTACTTAAGAAACATATAAGTACAATATAATTCAATCAAATATCTATAAATTATTGTTCTAAAAAATCATCATAGTGAACTTCAGACGCACAACCCAAAAACACATCTCTATAATAAAATTTGTTACTATGCAGTACGTGATTAAAGTCAACTCCAAAACATAGAAGTCAATGTTTTCTTAAATTTAAGAAGAAGTAATAGTCTATTTTAAGAAGAAAGACACCTTGGGATCAAATATAGTCGAAGCTTTTGAATTTCTTAGCTGAGAGGCCTTGAAGTAAGTTGGGCAAGTAGTGCAGTAAGGATCATTACACATTCCCAGTTGCCCAGACCTCAGCAAGTGTTCATTTTTTCTATCATAATTGTTATTCCAATGATTCCCATCTGTGCCTTCAAAAAAATTTTCTTCCTTGCTCTCCACTACTTTGTTTCCTGTCACAAGAATACTCTGCTGCAAAGGATTTCCAGTTCCAGGGGTAGCATATAGTGGACCACTCATCTGCATAAAGGGAGTTTTTCTCACACTACGAAGCGGACCAGTGTGTCCCACAAGACTAGTTTCTCTCTCATTAGACTCCATGGAGACCATAGGAATAGAAATTGATGCACTTTGAGTCCTGGTTACAAGCCTCCGGAAATTAGAACCCCCAAGTTCATCAGATCGTTGTACATGTGTTCCTGACAGCATTGGCACCTCATCTTTTTCAAACTGAGCCATTGTTTTATTGATGATTCTGTAATTTTTGGAAACTAACAAAACATCAATATCTATATACTTTCTGTACCATAACAGTAATTTTAAAATGAAACAGTTCAATTAGCTCAAAACTTGAATGGGAAGAATATAAATTACACAACATTAAATAACCATTGTAGTGAAAATCCACAGGAACTTAATGCATATCATACGGAAGATCCTTGTTCTTATGTGGCTGAGACTCAATTGTAGAATGATATATTTATCTTTACATTGGGAAATTTCTGATGAGATAAAAAGATTAACAAGTGAAACTCATATCAAGAAACAATTAATGAATCCCCTCATCTTAAACCTTCTGAAGCTTGGAAGAAACCAAATAGATTGACCTAAACTAACCATACAATCACTGAAAATGCAGGTCCCATCCAAACTCTCCAGTATTAATAAAAGAGTTAACAAACACATCTATGCCCTTCATGCCATTGATCCTGACTTCAAAGCTAACACACATACACTATATTATACAGCAAAATGAAGCATTATAACTTATGAGGAATTGCAAGTGGGTTAGGAATCAATGCAAGAATTCAAGTACAATACAATGAGCCTAAGTTACAGAAAAGGGTATAAACAAGCAAAACAAGAGAGATAATAAGCACAGAAAGAGTAAGACCTGTTTGAAGAAGAATTCCCTGTGAAAACCCCCACCGACTATTTTGCACCAATTCAAGTTA